TTGCAGTGAGAGGTGACATTTTCCTTTCTAACTGTTCAGGAGTGGAGCTGATGGGCTCTCAGGGAGGGCCCTCCCTTGCCTTTACACCTGCATAGCTCTGTAAAAATAAAATCTACCTTCCCGGGACTTAAAGCTGCAAAGATTTCACAGCAGTCCCATCTAACAGGGGACCACCAGCCACCCCAGCTCCCCGGAGCAGGCTCTCACACCCCATGGTGCAGACAGGAAATGGGGCACTGAGCTGGAGCTATCTGCAGCGGGTTCTTACCTGTCCTGTGTCCCCACAGACCCCAGCTGGGGATTCGGCGTGCAGTAGTCGGGCGAGTTGATGAGATAAACCAGATCTGTCTCTGTCACCGGCCTGACGTCCGTTTCTTTGGGTACCAGCTGCTTCCTGGGCCCCACGAGCCGGTGGGTCACCTTGATGGCCGCCAGGTACCTGGACTTGAGGTCAGAGGCAATTTCCCCCAGGTCTGGCAGTCCCTTCCAACAGGTCTTCACCGAACAGGAGCCTGAAACACCGTGGCATTTACACTTGGTATCCAGGGAGTCGCTCAGCACCTGCAGAGGACACGAAATCAGATTGATTTGCTTCTGTTTTCTCCTGGTACCTGCCCAGCCCGTGGGTTTGGGAGAGCATCCATAGGAAATGTCAAGTGATGAAAGAGCTCAGCTTAGTGGCACCTCTCAATGAATAGAATGGGGCAATCAGGGACCCAGCCCTGCTTGTGATAAGAACCCAACCCTTCGGGAATTCCATTCTGGAGCTCTGCTGGTGGCTTCCCAGGTGCAGAACAGACTCGTCCTCCCCTGGGGAAAACACCCTTCGGGGCTGGGCAGGGCTGGGCACCCCAGCTGGAGCAGGATGGACCCTGCTCCCCTGAGAGGGGCGGAAAGCTGTGCTGGAAGCACGGGTGTGAAGTGGGAAATACCTTACCCTAGTTGTGGAAAGGGTGCAGGGATTTTTGGGGAGGGTAGCAGTGGGGGGTGTCTCTGCAAACACTCCATTTTAACCATCGCATTGCCTTCTGACTGCAAAGAGAGCATCCTAACAGCCTGGCTGGGGTCTGTCTCCTCGAATTAGGCACCTCTGCCCCCCCAGGGGCTCTGTACGGGGTGGGGGGCTGCAGCAGTGCTGGTGGGCACCGTACCCCCCTGCCTGCCCATACCCTCCTGCCTGCCTGCTGCATTGTTGTGCAGATTCATGGCCCGGAGTGCTTGTGTCCCCAGCTTGCTGGATTTTAAGGGACTGTCAGCAAAAGCGGAGCCGAGCTGGAGGCCGTAGTGCAGGTTGTCCCCGCAGCCACCCCATCTGAAACCCGGCCCTGGGACCTCGGAGGGGATGGAGGCGCAGGAGCAGAGCGGGAGCTCTCCTGAGGCGCAGGCTTGGGCGATGGCGTGGGTGACGGCGGCAGCAGCCAGGGCGAAGACGAAGGCAGATTCCCGGGTTCCTGGGAAGAAGAGGGGGAGATGTCCTTCCTCCCTGCCCAGCCAAATGCTCCTCTCAAAGATCTCAATGCAAATAGGGTTGTTTTTTCTTGCAACAGGATAAAAGCAAGGCGCAGCATTTTTCTTGTGCTGTATTTTTAACCTGTGCCACATTTTATATTACACCATCAGCATACAGCCCATGTTCCCACCTCTTCTGCCTTTTTTTTTTTTTTTGAGCCTCTAGCAGCTGTTTTTGTTCGAAATAGAAGTTACTGTCTGTCATCTCTTGCAGATCTAAATTGCATACGATTAACACCAGTGCAACGGCAGCAAGTTTCTCCAGAACTGACACCCACCGTCCGAACCGCAGCAGCGCATGTTAGAACACTGCCTGCCTGGAAAGCGATGCGGGGCAGAAACAGGAGCACAAACCCAGCGGGCGAAGCAGCATCCTTTACCTTTCCGCAGGTCAGGGCCAAAGCTGGGGGCACGTCGGATGGAGGAGCAGTTCCATCTCATGTCTGCAAAGGTTTTCTGGCAGACGTCCTTGGTCTGGCGGGCAGCCCGGACGATGCTGTGCATGACCTCCAGGTTCCTGCGGCACATCTGGAACTGGTCGGGGACCAGCC